TTCACTACGAATGTCCCCTGTTGGTGGCACTATTTGTGGAGGCGCAAGAGATACAGCCTTTTGGAGGAAAGACGTCATTGGAGACAGGCTTCATGCCATTTTCAGTTTTCCCTCCCTGTTTCATGCTGTTTAGGAGATGAATTCTCATTTTCATTCTCTGGCTGCGGAATTATCTTCCAAGGTCTTCCTTCTAATAGCACCCCACTGGCAGTTAGAACTTCAAGGAATGAATGAGCGGAGATAAACATTGGCTCTGTGAGTTGTGCTCTCTTTCTTTCCAGCTCCTCAGAATGTCTGCATTGGGGGACAGCCCTTCCGTTTGTTTTTTCCTTCTGTATGATCCAGACGAGCCCATCCTAGGTGTCTCCAGACATCCAGAGACACCACATCCTTTAATGTACAGATGACCCTGTTGGTGCTACCGTCCCTTCAGCAGCCAGTCTTGCTAGGGTTCTCCAAGGTTTTCTGGAGGAAGCTGTGCTCTTCTAGTCTCTCTGGGCTGAGATCTGCCTTCCTGTTTTAGCCTGGAAGTGGAACCACAGGCTGCTGAACTACCTCATCTATGTGCACTGGATTCCCAGAACACGAGCTGTCCTTCCTTTAGTTCTTGCTTCTTCCTCTCTGTGCATTGCTGGTTTAGCTCCTTTGCTACAAATCTAAACTCTCAAGAATCGTGACTTCCTTGAGTTTTCTATGACCGTCATTGACAATCACTTGTTTAGTTAGTGTAGGAAACTTATTCTTAGCTAATTTTGGGTCAAAGTCTTGACTCTTCCCCCTCCTAAATCCTGTGTAGAAGTGGGAATAAAGTGCCATTGGTGTGGGATTCCCCTCTGTATGCTGTGAATACCATTGGTTAATAAAGAAGCTGTTTTGGGCCTGTGATAGGATAGAACAGAGTTAGGCAGGGAAAACTAAACTGAATGCTGGGAGAAAGAAGGGCAGAGTCAGAGAAAAGCCATGTTTTCCCATCAGAGACAGATGCCGTTTAGAATCTTGCTGGTAAGCCACAGCCTCGTGGAGATACACAGATTAGCTTTGGGATTAAAGGTGTGTGATACCACACCTTGAAGTCACAGAGGTCAATCTACCTCTGCCCCTTGAAGTCTCAGAGGTCAACCTACCTCTGCCTCTCAAGTGTTGGGATTAAAGGTGTGTACCACCACACCCAACTACTCTCTCTCTCTCTCTCTCTTTTTAAACTTTAAGAGTTTTAACCTTTAACCTGCATATATTTTAACACACTGTAAAACATTGAGAAGTTTTCTTCGTCTTTGAATCTCTCTTTATTGTATATCTCTCTTTTTCTGACCACATGAGTCTTTAATTTACCAAGCAATATTGGTAGGACTAAAGCCGTGGCTTTGACAGCTAGATCCAGCCCATTTCTTAACTTTCTACGATTTCAACCTCAGGGCTGAGGTACCGGCTGTAGCCACATTTATTGTCATAACTCTATGGCATTTTAAGGTCCTTGCCAGCAAGCAATCTGCAACAGTGTGTCCAGAAACAACACTCAAAATCTCTGTAGTTGGGACCGCCTGCTCAAAAGAGTCAGAATTTGCCCTGGCAGGACAGCCCAGAAAGCTGGCATTTTAAAACGGCGCAGCTTTTTTCCTGCTACGGCTGAAAATTGAAAAGCATGTGTTCAGTTTTTCATCAACACTATTTAAGTGTTTCGTGGTAGGACCTCTTAAAAGAGCTGCAAGGTTTTGCAGCTAAAGCTGAGTCAGGAAGCCTCTCTTAAATGAGAGCGTTTGCCTCTAGCAAGCAGAGCCCACCCAAGAGAATGCTGCTACCAAGAAACCATGTGCAATGTTGTCATTTTGTTCTAGAATTACTTCCCAAGCTGTCTCAGGCTTTATGTGGATACAGTCATCCACAATGGGTGCCATTTGTTGTAAAAGGAGTGGTGGGCCGCTTCCCGCAGCCTGGCTCCCAGCTGCCTGGCTAGCTAGCTTATAACCTGAAATAACAACACACAAATTATATTTATTTAAATACTATCTGGCCCATTAGTTCTAACCTCTTATTGGCTAACTCTTACATATTCTTATAACCCATTTCTAATACTCTGTATCACCACTTGACTATGGCTTACCGGCATGAGTTTAACTAGTATCCATCTCGGAGAGGAGAGCCATGGTGTCTGCCTCACTGCCTTCTACCCAGCATTCTGTTCTGTCTACTCTACCCACCTAATTTTCTGCTCTATCAAAAGGCCAAGGCAGTTTCATTATTTAACCAATGAAATCAACACAAAACAGAAGACCCTCCTACATCAACCATGTGGGTACTAGGAGTTGAACCTGGGTCCTCTAGAAGAGCAGTCAGTACTTTTAACTGCTGAGTGGTCTCTGCAGTGCACAGGTGGGAGTCTAAATTAGGTTAATGGAGATGTGCATGTTCATAGCGCACTAAGAGACTTAAGCTGTCATATGTGTTATTAAAAGTGTGTGTATATTCCCAGTCAAGTGCTATGCTATTCCATATGCTTACTTACCTCATAAAGAGTTCTGAGACCTCTACTCATGTAAAACAAGAATCTCAGGACAAATGAGTACGAAACAAACTTATACTAATAAAAGGTGGACTTGGAGAGATGGTTCAGGAGTTAAGAGTGTTTTCTATTCTTGCAGAGGACCCAAGTTCAGTTCCCAGAACCCATGTTGGGCAGCCCACATCTGAAAGCTGCCTGTAATCCCATCTCCAGGGAATCTTATTCCTCTGGCCTCCATAGCCACCTGCTCTCATGTGCCCACACATTTCTACCCACCCAGTTAAAAATAAAATAAAATAAAATAAAATAAAATAAAATAAAATAAAGGTTTTGGGAGCTGGAGAGATGGCCTAGTGGTGAAGAGCACTGACTGCTCTTCTGGAAGACCCAGGTTTGATTCCCAGCACCCAAGGTAACTCACAAGTGTTTGTACCTCCAGTTCCAGGGGAGTCCAGTGCAATCTTTCTGGCCTGGAATGGTTTTAAAGTCACGGCAGCCCTCCTGCTTTAGATTTCCTAAATGACGGGATTACACACAAGTACCATTGAACTCAGAAATTTTAAGCATATCAACATTAGCTCTATACATGGTTTAGGTGGATTTTGAAGTTGCATTTCTTTAAAGATTTTTATTTTATTTACTTTTTATTATTGGTGTTTTGCCTGCACGTATGCCTGTGAAGGTGTCAGATGCCCTGGAAGTGGAGCAGTTGTGAGCTGCCATGTGGTACTGGAATTGAATCTGGGTCCTCTAGAAAAGTGGCCAGTGCTCTTAATTATTGAGCCATTTCTCCAGCCACGAAGTTACATTTTTTCTTTTTCTTTTTCTTTTGAGACAGGGTTTCTCTGTAGCTTTGGAGCCTGTCCTGAAACTAGCTCTTGTAGACCAGGCTGATCTCAAACTCACAGAGATCTGCCTGCCTCTGCCTCTGGGATTAAAGGCATGTACCACCACCGCCCAGCAAAGTTACATTTTTCAAAGGATTTAAAATATTAAGGACTGGAGAGATGTTTCAGGGGTTACAGGCATGTGTTGCTTGTGCAAAAGAGTAGAGTTGGATTTTCAGCACCTACAATGGGTGGCTACAACCACCTGTAACTCCAGGTCGACAGGGAACTCTATGCCTCGACTTCATCAGGCACCATTAAAGTTAGTGTTGTTTTGTGTGTGTGTGTTGTGTATGTATGCGTGGGTATACACGTGTGTGCATGCATAAGAGCTGGGGGTTGATTTTGGATGTCTTCCTCTATTGCTGTCCATCCTAGTTTTTAGACAGGCTCTTTTAGTGAGGATGCAGCTCTCATTCAGCCAGTCTGGCTGGCCATGGCACGAGGTACCCTCCTGTCTACCCCCCCCCCATTTTCCTCCAGTGCTGTGTTTCAGATAAGAGCTGCCACACCCAGCTCATAGGTGCAGGGCATTCTATTCAAGGTCCTCATGTGTGCACAGTGAACATTTTACCCCCGAGCTATCTCCCCAGTCCTGTAGGGCTCATTTTTATTATGACCAGATGCTAGAATTGATTTGGATTTTTGTTGCATTTTAGTTCTTCTAAGTCAAGCCATTCTGAAGAGCAGAGATGGATGTTTGCACAAGACGATGACTCAGTCTCCTCCGTTCTCTGCTTTTCACTCCCTTAACATACACTGTTCTATTCCATCCCCGCAGCTCCCCTTATAGTATAGCGTTTTTCTTCCGTGTGGGTGGAGTGGGTGGGAGTCACAGGACTGCGGTAACTCCCTATGTAGAAGATTCCAGCGCTCCCTCAGATTTTCATCTACCGCCCCTCCCTTGCTTCTTTGGCACCTTTGGTCTGCAACAGGGTTTCTCTTCCAGGTCGTTCTCCCTCCCTTTGCTCTTCTGCACCTCTTGGATCCCTTTGACTCCCCCCCCCTTTGCCCCACATTCTGAATCTTAAAATTCAAAAAATCTTAAAATTTTTAAGAATTAAAAATCTTAAAATTGTGAAGAGTTTGATTTACAGAATCCAAAATGATGGCCCTTATTCTCTCTCCCCTTTGGTCTTTCGTTGTCGGCTGCTGTAAAGTTGACTTGAAAGGCAATTTCACCAAGATCGGGCTGGCCTTGAGTGAGGCACCTCCGTTCTCTATTTACAGTTGCAGCAACTGTCTTTGTGCCAGGGCACAGTTCAATGGTTTACATTTTTTGTTTATTTTTTTATTTTAATGTTTATCGAAGTATACCTATACAATGTAAAAACAGGCACAAATTTTAAGTGAAACTTTGTATCTGTGAATTCCAGTCCCGATGAAGGTATTTCAGAACCAGGCAGATCCCTCCTCATTGCCCACAGCGATCTTCTCCAGGGTAACCTGGTAACCTGTGCGTCTGTTTGTCTCCAGGGTAACCTGTGTGTCTGTTTGCCTATGTTTAGAGCTTCGTAGACAAGGAACTCTCCCTTGTTTCTCTAGCTGGGCACTGTACTCAGCAGGGAAGGGCCGCGCACTTCCTTACCCTTAGTAGGTAGTGTGAGTCAAGACAGGGTTTGAATCATTTATTAACTTTGTAGCTGTGTAACAGGAGACAATGTTACAACTTTGGAGTATTAGGATAGTCAGTATCCGTAAAATGCTTCAGGGTAAATCTTTGTGATAAACAGCTCCATATTCATTGCTGGCTACAGTAGGAAACCATCGAAAACACATGTTTAACAATCTGCTTGTGGAATGGATTTCATCTGTGACTCTGTATCCGTGTGCAGACAATGTAAAGGGGTGAAGATTCGGTATGGCTCCCAGATATGGTCTCCAGTACTTAGCTCCTGTTATTCTAGACCAATGGTGACAGGCAGGGCATCAAGTCCAGGGGAACCTGTGGAGGAGAAAGCTTCTGGAAGAAAGGGAATACAGGACCGGGCCAGGGTAAGATGGAGCCTCCCCTCCCCCAGGAAACACCCTGGCCTTCCCCAACCAGGTTTTACTTACTTTTCGCCGCCTTGCAATAAGGTCCTCAAATTATGACTATATCAGAGCATTAACTCACTGATTAGGACAGAGCCCTAAGGAGCCAATCTTCTATAAAGGCCATCAGCTGACAACCAAGGTCCCCAGCACGTGAGCCCACAGAGGGCATTTGATATTCAAACCACAACTACTTTGTACCCCCAGAACTTCATTTTAGGAAGAAGGTTGTGTGGCGTGTGAGATCTGCAAGATTTTTTGGACCTTCCAGGATTAAATCCTGAGCCTCTGGCTTGCTTCCTTTGGATTTTAGCAGCCTGAGTCACAGATTAAAGGTGGAACAGGAAGATTGTTTGTGGGCAAATGGGTCAACACGATCTTTATCAACATAGCTCCTTCATTTCAGTACAGCGTTTAGTTAGCAATCACGAAGTTCCCTCATTCATGTTTCATTTGTACCTCACTATCTTTCAGGTCAGGCCCAATCTCTTTGGCATCTCACTGTGGTGTGGTGCCCTCTCCCATTTTAGGAGCATCCATTTCAGGATCTGCGGCGGTCCCTTTAAAGCCCTGGAAAGGGCCGGTAGCCGGTTGGGCGGAGAGGCCCCGCCCCGTCACGTGTCCTCCGTGCCATGGGGCGGAGCCAGAGCCTCTAAGTTGCCGTCACTTCCGGCTCTCTGTCAGTCCCGAACGAGCGAGGGAGAGAGCTAGAGGCTGTTGGACTGCAGGAGCGGAGCGTGAGTGTGCGCGGGACCCCCAGACCCCTTCCTCGAGGCCGCGGCCGGGCCAACCCCGTTTCCCCGCCGGGCTGCCGCGGAGCCTTCGCTCCTGTGCCCGCCCTGGTTGCGAGAAACGGCATCCTTGACGGGCCTCCGCTCTTTCCCCGCGCCCCTGAGCCCCGGGCCCCGTGTGGCGGCGGCGCCGGGAGCCGAACCGAGGTGGTGGGCGCGG